ATTTGATTTGCAGATAATGCTGGAATTAATACCTATCATTCGGTTGTGTTTCCCAAAGTAGAAGCACCACCTAAAGAGGAAGATTCATTTGAAGCTTTGCTGCAGAAAGTAAAAGCGAAAATGAACGCAAATAAAGCAAATTCAGCAACTAAAGCCTGACGTCAGCCATGGAAAACAATCGCTACATATTGTCTTTCACTGCTGAATTTCACATTTTAGTCGCATCAACCTTTTTATATTTACATTCATACTTAGCTTATCGTATGCATTCATAATTCCAAATTGAACCAATGTTACATCAAAATATCATTACTTCATTTTCTACAAAAATGTGTTTGTAATTAAGTTTGTATATATTTCTTCTTATGAATTGCTTAATGCATACTTATACGTCATTATCATTATCATTGCTTCAATAATGCAATACAGCTAAGTACTGCTGATTACTTCTCGCCACAATGACATTAGAAGGAGATTGAACGCGCATGATATGCATTATTGGACTGAAAGTAAATTTTTATGTATGCTAATTTCAAAAACAAACCAACTTGAAGGATGTGCTTTTTATGTCTCAATGTATATTGTTAACTAAAATGGAATGTGATAATGGAAGCCACAGTCATTGAAAATAACTTGAACTGCTTAAAATCAAAACAGAGGAAATACCCGCATAAGTTACTTGCTTAAATATATATGTTTGTTTGAATAGAGATAACTTAATGAATTTAACAGATATAGAGAAAACCATGATGGTATGTATTAATTGTGAATTTTTCACATTTAACTAACAACAATTTTTGTAAATTTTGTACATTTGTAAACAAGTATAAAATATAAATAAATAACATTAAAATACAATGCTACAAAGGAGTCTTGTTCAAACTATTTACAAACGTACAAATGTAAAAAAGGAAACGGACGACGAATTCAACTGTTGATATACATTTTTATATGTAAATATAACCCTGATATTAGTTGTAATAGAACACACTTTTTAAATTTCTTAAACTCAATTTCTACCTACCTGCTTGTATTTTAGTTAAGTTAAGAAGATACGTATAATTTGTTAGTCAAATAATTTTGGAAGTGAATGTTGATGCATAGTTGCCTTCGAATAGGCACCAATAAACAATACATAAATATGAATAAACGAAAAAATAATTGGCTTTCTAAAGAACAAGAATCTTGGGCTTACAGAAATAAATACTTTCAATGTTATGATTATTAAGTGATATATTTTTAAAAATTATAAAAAATCAGAAAAGTACTTGTTAAATTGCTGAGAGAGTATCCGCTAACTATGTTCGTATGCCAAAAGTAAACCTACTTAATTGTTATGCAGATTTTATATTCTTCCTTTTAATAAGCTACAATTGAAAGACTAGCAAGCCATCAAAATGAATATGTTAAACACAAAAATGTGTGGCTATTTCAGATAACTGAATGCCACATAGTACATACATACATATTTATTTATATTACCCCTTTAGTTTCGTTTTTTTTTTTAATTACAACTTCTTAAATTTAAGTTTATGCGTTTGCTTTATATAGAGTTTGTGTTAAATAAACTAAAAAGGATTATCTAAAAACCAACCGAAAATTACGCATTTTTCTTTTCTCACAATATACCCTGTATGAGTCACTTCTAAATTGACGATGTAGAGAACAACGAGACGAGCAGTATGTTCACGACTGTTATAATGCGAAGTATGCATTTTTACGTGAGGTGTTGCTCGACTTGAGTTGCTCACGACTATTACGATTCGTGCCCAGGTAACGGTAGGTCCAGGACACCTGCTATTTCAATGGGATCTGACCAAAGGGAGTGGGATGTTAGCTAAGTAGTTTTAAATGTGCAAGTGAAGAGGTGGTTGGCAATCTCCATAAGCCTAACACATACAGTGCCGGACAAAAGTATTGGCACAGAGAATTTTTCGCAATATATGCAAAGTTTTTTATTCTAATTTATTTTCAATATTTTTTAATAAAACTATAGTTCGTACTTCACGAAAAAACATAAAAACAAAATCTCTAAACTTTGTGCAAAACTCAGGAAAATTCAATAAATTTGAATACTAATTTGCAGCTTCTTATTCAGATTTTCTAGAGAAATTCTAAGTATGTAGTTTTATAGCCCAACTAATTTTAATACAACAAAGTGCAAGTTTAAAGTATCTAAAAAATTGCGTTGGTTTTTGGAAATTTTTTTAGTAGAAGGTGTTGCTCATTTTCTCCATACAAAAAATAATTGTCGACATACTTTGAAAGGAAGAACCTGACTGAAAAAAAAAAATTGCCAAAAATCAATGCGATTTTTTAGCACCTTCAAGCTTGCACTTTGTTATACTAAAATTAGTTGAGCTATACTTAGAATTTTTCTAAAAAATCTGAATAGAAAGTTGCAAATAAGTATGCAAATTTATTGAATATTCCTGAGTTTTGCACAAAATTTAGAGATTTAGTTTTTATGTTTTTTTGGTGTAGGACGAACTATATACTTATAAAAAATTATCGAAAATAAATTCGAATAAAAAACTTTTCAGATATTGCGAAAAATTCTCTGTGCCAATACTTTTGTGCGGCACTGTATGTGTATGCATTTTGGGTATGTGGGTGGCAGGTCTGGATAAGTAAAAGTTCAGTCCACTGCAGTATCTAGACCCATCTGGGACTTACTTCTCATCACTGATGTTAATTCTGACTTTGAAATTTAATAGTAAATTCTTCTGTCAAACGGTATAAGAGGTCAGCGTTAATATCACCGATGACAGGTAAGTCTTAGATGGAGTTTTATATCAGACTCATTTTTGTGAAAAGTGCAGATAGAGGGTATTGAATATAAGCCCTCGAAATGACGGTAAGATGTGATTCCAAAAACCATAAAAACCATTGAAAGGAACCTAGAAACGTAAAAAAAAAATTCCAAAAACAATCGGAAGTGCACAGAAAATTAACCATAGAGACGCCAAGTTCATCAGGTAACATCCGTTCATGGATTGAAAACAATACGAAAGAAAATTACGTGATACGTCAGTCGTATCAGTTGAATGGGATAAAGCGTGCGTTCACGTATGTCATAATCCGAAAAATGTGTTGTAGTGACTTTTTAGACACCCTGCACGCTTATAAGAAAACGTCGCTTATTGTTTATAGCCCCAAAAAAGCTCATTTAGGAAGGAAAAGTTC